TGAATGTACTGTGGACTGCCAGAAGAACAAAAAATATCTGTCTTAAAAGAAGTACAGCCAAAATATTCCTTAGAAGAAATGATGACATGATTTCCAGCTCAAATACTTTGGACAAGTTACCATGTTTGGCACCAGTCCCTGGAGAAGGACACAATGCTTGCAAAGTAGAGGGCCAGTGAAAAGGAAAAAGACCCTCAATGAGACGTATTGACACAATGGCTGCAACAATGGGTTCAAACATTGCAATGTTTGTGAGAATGGCCCAGGACCAAGCAGCATTTTTTTCTTTCATACATAGAGTTGCTATGAGTCAGAACTGACTCCATGGCACCTAACAACAAGAAGTACCTCACTTTTCCACTAATTACTCATCTTAAGGTTTTGATACCCCTGGATCCAATCATCACCACACACTTCTAGGCCTCTTCTCTATTGTTAGCACATTGGAATAACAAAGTGTCCATGGGATGGGAGATACAGATGACTTCTCAAAGTTAAACTAGCAACTCATGGCTGGGTTCTGTACAAGTGACACATGCCAAGGAAAATCTCAAAAAATAGACTTCTAAGACTTATGACATGGTCTCAGGAAGACATGATGGTGCTATAATGTCTGAAGATGTGCCATAAGTAAGCTGTACAAGAACTCAAATTTAATTTCTTGTAAGAACTACATGGAAAAGATGACCCAACAAATAGATGTTGTGTGCCTGAGTGTTGCAATAACAGGAAGATGATCAGTATGTAATTTAAAATGGGGAACTAAGCAAAAGAACTGAGAAGAACTTGTCTATCACTGTTCTGGAGGGCAGACCTTGTATCTATGAAGACCTATAGAAAAATATCTATTATGTCAGAGCAGGGACTTTCACCTAGCTTCCTAATGCCTTAGTAAATGTCTCTCAAATCCCTCCCACTTGCTTTATTCCAATTGCATACTCAAAAAGAAACATCCCATTACTCATCTAGTTTCCCAACCACACCACCATAAAAAGGAGGTGCCTTAGACAGTGAAAGGGAGCTCTGTTGGTATAGTGCCTAAAGGCACTTGACTGCTAACCATAAGGCTGGTGGTTCAAACCCACCAGGCACTCCTCTGAAGGAAGATTGGACAATCTACTTCCATAGAGATACCACCTGGGAAACCCAAGGAGAGGTTGCTATGAGTCAGATGCGACTTGATGGCAGTGAGTTAGTTAGTAAGTTAGACAGTGAATACTACTAGCTTTGCAATACAAAAGGACATCCCATGAATGTCATTCCTAAAACTAAAATGAGATTATTGAACTGTTTGAAAGACAGAATAGGGTAGGGAGTTGGACCCACCATACTCACCTAGGGTCTACATTATTCACTCCTTTACACATTTATTCATTCAGCACCTGATAGAGACCATTCACAGGTACTAGAGACCCAAAGGCAAATGATATAGAATCTGCCTACCCTGAAGGGTCTCATAGTATAATTTCTTACATGAGCCCAAAGAGAGCCCTTCCCAGACTCCCCTCCACCCCAATCACCCCCACTCCCAAACCACCTTCACCCCACTCATCTCCCCAAACACACACACACACATAGCACACAGAACCCAGCATACACATAGAAGTAGGTCAAGAACCACACATCTGATCCAAATCCAATTTAGGAAGCTCAGTGTCACATACAGACATCCCAGATTCCCCTAGATTTAAAGGGCCCTCTCTCTAAAGGGGGAGCTCTGGTAGCATAGTGCCTAAGGAGCTTGACTACTAACCAGAAGGCTGGTGGTTCAAACCCATCAGCCACTCCTTGGAAGAAAGGTAGTGTAACCTACTTTCGTAGTGATACCACCTCAGCAACCCAAGAAGGGGTTGCTATGAGTCAGGTCCAACTCGATGGCACATAACAACAACAACAACTCTCTAACGGATGCTGATCAGCTTCAGGTGGATGGATGGATCCTGAACCTAGTAGGTTCAACCTGCTGAACTCTTCAGTTAATAGTGGAACACTTAACCATTGTGCCACAAGGGCTCCTTGGAACAAAACTAGTCATAAGGAAAATACCAGGACTCAGAACATCACAAGAGGCCACCCTGCTTCTAAATCTTTTCTAAAAATTTGAGGAAATGCTAAGATGTTGAAATGCATAGATAACTGCTATTCTTTGAATGACTCATCTGGAAAATGTCATCTGACAGAAATTTTTCTCTCATTGAAACATAGCAATAGTGAGCTTTGCATATTAGGTTGCCATACATATGGTAATCAGAGACTGTGTTGTATTTTACAGTGAACCTAGAGAGTACAGATGTCATTAACTCCATAGACAGAATGAATCTGGTGTGTTTAGGGCATAAAATTTTAAATCCAGGAAAGTCTGATTACATTAGTATCCTATTTTCATAGACCAAAGATTAAAAGTTTACAAAATGAAGTTAATTAGGGGTAGCAAAATAAGAATTTGGCCAAGTTCATGTAGTAGAGAATCATGGTGGGCCCATCTGTTTTGGGTATCAAGCAGGTAGATGATATCAGGAAGAGTGATAGCATCAACATTTTTGTGGCCTAAAGTAGTTCTCAGCACCCATTTCTCTATGGCTAATCACGTGAATATTGATAATTACCTTCCTCGGGTCCTTGATAGAGAGAAGAGCCTAAATAAATGGACACTAGAAATTGTAAAATTCTTATCAATGTAAATTAATAAATTGGAATTCCAATTAACTCCTCAGTCTCATATGACTTGGGTTAGGGGGAGTCACCCCTTAAAAGTCTAGTCAACTCTGGGCACATTAATAAAATCAAGATTGTAAAGCTGATAGCTAGTCATGAATATAGACACCACAACAACGTAAGCCCATAGGTAATGTTTCTATGTGGCACAGACTCAGCAGTCAGTTGGTGTCTCTGTGATTCTCTGTTTCTTTCTCCCCACTGCCTGCCTTCCTTCCTTCCTCCCTCTTCTAATTTCAGAAAACAATTTTTAGAACTCTGGTATATTACTCATGAAAATATGCAAATGAAGAAAAAATTATTGAGACATTATTGAAAATAATTATTGAAATTATGGAGACATCAGCAAAATATCTTGTTTAGTCGTCTGTGCTCCACTAAACTGGCCAAAACCAATACCAAACTCACTGCCAACAAGTCGATTCTGACTCATGGCGATCCCCATAGGGTTTCGAAGTTGTAAACTTTTACTGAAGAAGACTGCTTCATCTTTCTTCCACAGAGCGGCTGGTAAGTTCAAACTAATGGCCTTTTGGTTAGCAGCCAAATGCCTTAACCAGTGCACCACCAGAATTTCTTATATTGGCCAAAATCATGTAAAAATTAAGACAAAATATGAAAAGTAGATAATGACAATGATTGAGAGAATATTACCACATAAGAGAAACGAAGGCAAATAGTGTTTGGCATGCCATGTTCGTCTTCTGAAGTAACCATGAGAGTCCCACATTAGTCAGCACTAATGACCCTGACTGATGATCTAAGGAAAGCAATCTAGAGACCCTACTGGCCTTGACGTAGTTTGAGCCCCGAGCCAAAAGTTCTACCAAAGTGAGATGACAGTGAGTAAATCTAAATTCTCTGTAGATTTTGTGTACAACTGATATTTTTTAATGTTGAAACTCTAGTATGAAAGCATGACTGACCATATTGTTTTTGTCCCTGACCAATATCTCTCACCCTTAGGGGAGTTTGAGAGCTTCCCTAAGATCTGTACCAGGAAGACTCAATGGACTTCAGGCCTAGGAGATGGTCGTTCAGTTTGGGGTATTGTCATAAGACCAATTTAAGGCCTACATAGTTTGTTGCCTCAGCATCCATTAATTCCTCCTAATTCCCTGGTAGCGTAGTGCCTAAGGCACTTGACTGCTAACCAGAAGGCTGGCAGTTCAAACCCACCAGCCACTCCTCAGAAGGAAGATGGGGCAATCTATTTCTGATACTGCCTCGAAAACCCAAGGAGGGGTCGCTATGAGTCAGGTCCGACTTGATGGCACATAACAACAACAACAATTCCCCTTTAATGGAAGCAGCAGTCAGGACATTAGATGACATGTAGCACTGGGCAGGTCGGCTGCGAAGCAACTCTTTCAAGTGCTGAGGAGCAAGGATGTCTCCGTGAGGACTAAGGTACGCCTGACACAAGCCATGATATTTCCAATTGCCTTGTATGCATGTGAGAGCTGGATAATGAATAAGGAAGACCAAAGAAGAGTTGATGCTTTTGAGTTGTGGTGCTGGCGAAGAATGCTGAAGGTACCATGGACTGCCAAAAGAGCTAATAGATCTGTCCTGGAGGAAGTGCACCTGAGATGCTCCTTGGAAGCAAGGATGGCCAGACTTCGTCTCACCTACTTTGGTCATGTTGTCAGAGGGGCCCATTCCCTGGAGAAGGATGTCGTGCTTGGTAAGCTGGAAGGTCGATGAAGGAGGGGAAGGCCTTCGACAAGATGGAATGACACAGTGGCCGTGACAACGGGCTCAAGTACAGCAAGGATCATGGAGCTGGTGTGGGATTGGGTGGTGTTTCATTCTGCTGTGCATGGAGTCACTATGAGTCAGAAACATCTCGACGGCACCTGACAAGAACAATTCCCCTTTCACCCAGTTTCTTCCATAAATTGTCTTATTTTACCAAATAGCCTCTCAACATTTTTGGTCTTTAAGAGAGCCTCCCAAGCATGCCCCATATGGCTTTCTACGATAGGAACCTACTATTATGCTACAACCTAGACTCTCAAGGGCCCCTTGCAGCCATGTCCCATATAGTTTCCCATGATAAGAACTTCTCCCTTTTCCTGTGCCAATACACTAGAAAGTGTTAAATTTACTGATTAGACTTCATTTCTCACTGAAGACCCCACTCTGTTAGCCATACAAAAGCTCTCTCATACAATTCCAGCTTGTTGTTGCTTTGTCTCCAGGTGCAACTTTCTGTGTGGCCCAGCATCAACAAATTCCATTTGTTTTCACACCGTCCTGTATGAGTCTCATTTCCCCATGCCATGTCTGACAGACTACTGAAGACAACCACAGATCCCTTTCAGTCAAACTTCATACTAGTACTGAAGAGGAAGAGGAACATCTACCACAGCCAGAGTGATCTTGAAGTCAATGGTCATGTTCCAACACCAATAGCCAATCTGATGAATGTGGAACTTAGAAATATGAAAGAACAATCAGAATCACATGGTAGGAGAAAACCCAATGGCTAGAAAGAGGTGTACCAGAAAGAAGCAGCTTTGTGAAGAAAAAAAAAATTATTCTCTTTTAATTTTTGAAGTCGTTTCCCAAAGAGATTAAGAAGTTTCAGTATCCATAAAATAAAGAAAAACTCCTATGTGATATGTCAATCAGAGAACAAGAGTTCTTATAAAATAAAATCATGATTAATCAAACAATAAGTCATTAAATGTGTTGAAATGCAGAGTGGGCACAAATGAAAACCAAATCAGTGATCACAAGACCAAACCATGGAGTCCTATCAGAACATTGAACAGAAATGTGGGGAAAAAAAGGAAAATATAAGAATCAAATTAAGACATGGAGTTCAGAACCATAGTCACAGGGGACACCAAGGTCAATTGGCGTGATATAGCCCACAAAGACAATATTCTCATCCAACTTTGGTGAGTAGCAAGTGGGGTCTTAAAAGCTTGCGAGCAGCCATCTAACGTTGACCTATTGTTCTCTCCATCTGGAGTCAAGAAGGAAGAAAATCAAAGATGTTAAGGAAACAATTAGTCTAAAAGATTAATGGACCATTCAAATATCAGCCTCTTCAGCCCTAAGACCAGAACTAGATGGTGTCCAGCTACCACGACTGACTGGTCTGAAAGAAAACCAAATAGGAATACCTGAATACAGTGGCAGAAAAATGTGGAACAAAATTTAAAATAAGAAAAAAGACCAGCCTTACTGGTCTGATAGACTGGCAGATCCCCGAGGCTATGGCCTTTATTGTTGTTAGGTGCCATCATGCTGGCTCCCACTCATAGCGACCCTATGTACAACAGAACAAAACACTGCCCAGTCCTGCACCAGCCTCACAATCCTTGCTATTCCTGAGCCTATTGTTACAGCCACTATGTCAGTCCATCTCATTGAGGGCCTTCCCCTTTCTCACTGACCCTCCACTTTACCAAGCATGATAGTCTTCTCCAGGGAATGGTCCCTTCTGACAACATGACCAAAGTAGGTGAGATGAAGTCTTGCTTCCAAGAAGCAATCCAGCTGCACTTCTTCTGGGACAGATTGGTTAATTCCTCTGGTAGTCCACAGTACTCTCAGTACTTTTTGCCAACACCACAACTCAAAAGCATCAACTCTTCTTTCACTGCCTTATTCATTGTCCAGCTGTCACATGCATATGAGTTGATTGAAAATACCATGGCTTGGGTTAGGTGCACCTTAGTCTTCAAAGAGACATCTTTGCTCTTTAGCACTTTAAAGAGGTATTTTGCAACAGATGTGCCCAGTGCAATACATCATCTGAATCCTTGACCACTGCTTCCATTGGCGTTGATTGCGCATCAAATAATACAAAATCTTTGACACTTCAATCTTTTCTCCATTTATCGTGATGCTGCTTCTTGGTCCAGTTGTGAGGATTTTTGTTTTCTTTATGTTAAATTGCAATCCATACTGCAGACTGTAGTCTTTAATCTTCATCAGTAAGTTCTTCAAGTCATCCTCACTTTCAGCAAGCAGGGTTGTGTCATCTGCATATTGCAGATTGTTAATGAGTCTTCCTCCAACCCTGATGCCATACATGTCTTCATATAGTACAGATTCTCAGATTATTTGCTCAGCATACAGATTGAATAAGTATAATAAAAAGATATAATCTTGATGCATTCCCTTCCTTATTTTAAACCATGCAGTAGCCCCTTGTTCTGTTCGAACAACAGCCTCCTGATCTATGTACAGGTTCTTCATGAACACAATTAAGTGTTCTGGAATTTCCATTCTTCTCAATGTTATCCATAATTTGTTATGATCCACACAGTCAAATGCTTTTGAATAGTCAATAAAACACAAGTAAAGAACTGAACTCACCCCCATGGTTCAACTTTCAGCCAAATGGTAAACAGGCCTATAAGGTAAACAATAATACCAGGAAGGTATGCACTCATTAGAGCAATTGACCATATGAGATAAAAGGATGGCATTTGCCCAAGGATACAGCTAAGAAAGCAGGAAGGCATGGGAAAGAAGGATGAAGGGAAATGGTAACTACAGAGAATAAGTGGCAAGAGTGTTGCTACATTGTGGGGATTGCACTCAGTATTATAAAACAAAATGTGTATGAATTGTTGTATGATAAACCTATTTTCTCTGTAAAATTTCACACAAACCACATTAAAACAGAGTGAATGTGTTACAAAGTTAGCCCACATAAAATGAACAGACCTCTAATAAACATTAAATAAACTTTTTGTTTAAAAAAAAATCAAATTAAGACAAATGCAAAATGCATAATATTGAGACTTCCAGTGAGATGGCAGAATAGGCACACAAGCTACACAGACCCTCCACAATAAATAGAAGAGGAACCAGTTGACACAGATACAGAAGATAATTCTGGGGCCCAGAGATTTTAAAGGAAGGAGACAGAAGTGGATTAAACACAAACTAGTAGAAGAACCTGAATGAGAACAGTGAATAAAGAGACAAATGGAGCTGCAGACTATTAGCTATGTTGATGGCATGGTCAGTTTGAATATTTCCAAGTGGTGATAGGACCTGAGAATTAACCTGAAAATCAGCCGTGCTCACCAACGGCTGTTTGGACAACTGTACTGGTGGCTTATAACTAAAAAAGGAAATAGCAAAGAAGGAGATAAACTGAGCTGTGGACTTTCAGCTGTCTGGAGGGTGCAGCCACTTTGAACGTTTACAACCATCAGGCATTTTGGGTACATAAAGTGACAGTGTTCTCATTTATGTTCCAGGGACCTAAGAATAAGTTCATCTTGCTGAGGACAGTAAAGACATATGGGAAGCTGATGACTGGAAAGGAGACAGGTGGTGAATGCATAATTGCTGCCAACTAGCAAATAGAGAAGCACAGTACCCTGCTTACTCAGATAACTTCCAAAGCATCCAAAGAAAATGTAAATCTTGGGCCAATCACTCCAACATACAATCACCAATTAAATATAAACACAAAAACATCACAATGTCTCAGAGACAACAGACCATCACAGTACACACAAAGAAGCAAGAAAAAGTGGTAAAAACAAGGGACCAGGATATAGACCAAGAACACATCCCAGAGGAAGAAGCAGCATTGCAACTCCCTGAAAAGAAATTCAAAAGAATTATATTTAGGTACCTTCAGTGGATTGAGAGACAGATCAAGGAAAACACTGACAAAATTGAGGAAAACACTAGAACAATTTTGGAAGATGATACAAGAACAAAAAGACAAAATAAATGAACAATTAGAAATGATACAAAATCTACAGATAGAAATCCAGAAGATGAATACTAGATTTTCAGAAATAGATAATACATTGAATGGGCAAAGGAGTAGACCTGAATCGATGGAAGACGTAATTGCTGAGACTGAAAACAAAAACCTCAATACTTCTTTGGAAAGTGGTCAATCACAACAGAAGATCAAAACAAAATGAAGAGAGCCTAAGGTTCACGTGGGATACTATCAAGAGGAATAACCTATGTGTAATTGGAATTCCAGAAGAGGAAGAGACAAATAAAACTACAGAAAAAATTGTCAAAGATTTGTTGGGAGAGAATTTCCCTGATATGATGAAAGATGATAATAAATCCATTCAAGAAGTCTAATAAAGCCCAAGCAGGATAGACCCCAAAAGAAAATGACCAAGACATATCATCATCAAACTCACCATAACCAAAGACAAAGAAAGAATCATGAAAGCAGCATGGGAAAAACAAAACGTTACCTATAAGGGGCAAGCAATAAGACTAAGCTCTGGTTTCTCAGCAGAAACCACACAGGAGAGAGGCAATGGGATGGTGTATATAAAACCCTGACAGAAAAAATTACCAAACAAGAATTATATGCCTACAAAAATTAGCCCTCAAATATGATGGTGAAATGAGGATATTTTCAGACAAGTATAAATTAAAGAAACTTGTTAAAACCAGACCAACCTTACAAGAGATGCTAAAGGGAGTGCTTTGGACAGAGAACCAAAAACAGGAAATAACAACTGACCATTAACACACATGATGACATAACCCAGAAACCAACCTAGTTATGGAAGTATCCAAAGTAACTTAGCTTACAAGACTGTAAACAGGGAACTAGAGTCATTAATTGGCAAATGAGGACAACTACAAACCAAAAAGAGGGGAAAAAAACAGTGTAGTTATAGAATTTCTAAATAGTGAGGATGTCAAGAGAGTTGCAAGATAGAATGGAATGTTCTAAACCCAGGAGAAAATTATAAATCACAGGGTTTCACAAATGATAAACCTTCACATCAAAATAAACACAAAGCAAGCACAAATATTTAGCAAATACTAAAAAAAAAAAAAAAGCAATGAAGGAAGTGATAAGAAAATTCATAAACAAAATTAGTTCAGCATAGAAAATTATATAGAACAAAGAAATCAGCAATACCATGAAAAAAACACATAACAAAATGACAGCAACCAATTCATACTTGTCAATAATTACACTGAATGTCAATAGTTTAAATGCACCACTCAAGAGATGGAGAGTTGTGAGTAGCGACTGGGATCTTAAAAGCTAGCAAGCTGCCATCCAGATGCAACAATGGGTCTCTCCTCGTCCAGAGCAAAGAAGAATGAAGAAAACCAAAATTCATGGAAACAATTAGTCCTAGTGACTGGTACACCATCCGATCTGCAGCCTATACGACTATGAGACCAGAAGAACTAGATGGTGCCCAGCTACCACTGTCATCCACTTGGAAGGGGATCTATGTAGGAGATCCTTGATAGAGAGGGAGAACAACGTGGAACAAAACTCAAAATCATTTGGAGAAAGAAAAAGTGGGGGGACCAGGTTTGCTAGTCCGATAGAGCCTGGTGGAAATACTGAGACTATGGCCCCTAGCTGCCCTTCAGGTCTGGAATTGAACCCACACCTGTGGTTTTCAGCCAAACAAAATATAGGCATATGAGTTGAACATTTACCTCAGGTAGAGATACACTTCTTGGAGAGAACAATCATGGGC